AAAAAAAAAAAGATTTGTTGATAGACCTTTAGGCTTTATTTTTCCTAAGCTCTATTAACGCTTTTAAGACGGACTTAACAGAGGAACGATTAATACATGATAAAATTTGGCATTTTCTTTATCGACTGCTCAAGAAATATCCGCCTAACGATCGTAGCTCACGAATATACTGGATTCTAATTTTGAGTGATGATGATGTGGTTCCGAACGCTTCCAAATGTGAGTGGTCGTTCATAGAAATTTTTCGCTGCAGTTTAACCAACTCCTTCAGGTACTATTGCCTCTTGTTTGTATTTTTTTTTGTACCGTCACTTTTTTCACTGCTTTTTTCAATTTAGAGGAAAATTTTTGTATTAGTGCCAATTTCTTTTCACTTTCGCTGTCCAGATGTATCTTCTTTTTACAGGAACAGTGATCTTAAAGAATGTGGTATGAAACGGTGGTTTTGGGTTTTATTATTGGAAATAGATATGTGCGTGTCCCACTTGCAGAATAAAAGGTCTGAAGCTCCATCGTTAGACTGTACTCCTCTTGCTTTTTTTGTAGTTCATGAGGCGAGTAGTAGCTCACGAAAACAGCATTCAATCACTGAGCGGTGCATTAAAACAATGAGCAGATGGCTGACTAAGGCATCTGAAAGGCTTGAGACGGTAAGTATTTAATGAAATTATACTTTAGGTTTTCTTCACGGTAAGTCAAGAATTTGTTGTCAAAAAATATTTTAATCTGTTGTTTTGACACATTCGTATTTCACCTGTTTTTTTTTTTTTTTTCAGGACTTTTCTGTTATAGAAGAGTTCAAAATATGCGTCAACCTTATATCTGTAATATTTGAAGCGGTTCGTTTTACCGAGATGATGCGGTGTAGAACCGGCTTCTCAACCAATTATGCAGCTCCGGATATTTTACAGGATAGTTTACGGCAATTGGTTAGGTACAGTTTTAAAAAAGGTACTGTCATTGGATTTGATTGTTTGTTGTCAAGAAACCTAAAGTGGTAAGGGTAGTTTAGAATCCTAGGTCATCACATTCAGTATCTTAGTTTCTTGCGCTTCCTGACAGGCTTCTTAGTTGTCTTCAACGGTTTTGGGAACGCTGTATATAATTTTCTGGGAACAGTGTGTTTAGCCTAGTGTATTTAGATAAATGAGTTCACCGTGGATGAGGCAATCAGAAAAATAATAATTATATTAGTCTCTAATTCTCCGTTGGTCGTGTTCTTGAAACACATTTCTAGTGTCAATGTTGAACATGTCTTCTATAGAATATCAATAGTTACTAAATTTGCTTTTTAGGATCAGTCTTTAAGCACGTTGCTGACTTGTTTGAAGTCCCGTGGATGCGGAGTACCGTTACATCAGTATTGGCAGAGAGGATGAAGTGATTACATTTTTGCCTGACTAGACTCTTACCTCACCTTTTTTTTCGCTTTGAAAGTCTGAAAATAGATCTGTTTCACTATTTTGACGTGGTCACTCCTAGTTAAATGTTTATTACGGGTACAGATTAGCTGTGCTAATCAATTTGTCTTTTTGGATAATGATGCTCAACTAAAATTC